GTCACACGAACCCTAACCCTAGATCCCGATTCGGATGAACTACAAAGAGGAAAACCGAATCGGTCGAATAAAAAGAAAGAAAAGGAATCAAAGAAACCCTAACCCTAATCCCCACCTCTGGTTCGGAAAACAGAGATCAATCCAAATCGGAGAAACAGAAAGGGAAAGGGGACGGGACAAACCTCGCCGTGTGTCGGGATGGCCCTTCGCCGGTGCAGGAGAAGATGCGGCGAGCTGGGGGCGGGCTGTTCGTCGGGCTCGGCCAAGGGGGCGCCGCGGCCAGGCCGCTCGACGGCGGCGTGCTCACCCATCGGGGAGCACGCGCGCCAGCGAGGGGGCCGGCGACGGCGCCATGGCTGCCTTGCTCCACCGTTCGCTCGCTCACCGTCTCGCTCTCGGTGGCTCCTGTCCTTGCGCTGAGGAGAAGTGAAGAGGGGAGCCACTGCGGCTGAGAGAGCGAAGAGAGAGAGTGGGAAGGGGAAAATGAAGTAGGGTTTATGAGGAACCCGACGTCGACGGGTTTTTATACCGCCCAAAATCGACGCTCGGCCGTCGGATCGGCGCGGACGGCCGAGATTAATCGGCCGTCGCCACCGACCAAAGTGGCGCGAAGGCCATTTGTGGCATTTTGCCGCCCCAGCCCAAAGTTGCGGCTGGAGTGCGGCTGTCTTGTGCTACAGACAGATGGGCCGAGCGGTTTTGACGGTTTTGCTTAAACGACACAGAAGAACAAGAGTCCAGTTTCGTTTTTTTTCTTTTTCCTGGAAAATTGAAAATACAAATTGGCTCAAAAGAAAAATAGAAAATTATTTTTTCCCTATGGGTAAAATTCAAGAAATTGAGTATACGTTTTCCACTGCTAAAGAAAAAGTATATTCTCCAGTGATTTTGAACCGACGTGATATTTAACTGGAGAAAAAGAAAGGTTTTCCAGTAAAGGTTTATTTCCTGGAAATTGATTAATGGATTAAAGGAAATAGAAAAAGCAATTTTCCATGTGGATAAAATTCAAGAAAAAGAGAGTTTTTCCACAGCCAAAGAAAAGTTGTTTATACTCCAGTTATTTTGAACCAATGTGGTATTTAATTGGAGAAAAGGAGATTTGACATTATTATGATGTTGTTATTTTCTGACCAACATTGTTAATAACAATATCATAATTTTAATGATTTATGCATTAATTCTACTTCTGTCCAACGGTGATGTAGAATTAGTGTATAAGAAGAGTTGTAAATTTTAATGATTTATGTATTAATTCTACTTCTGCCCAACGGTGATGTAGAATTAGTGTATGAGAACAGTTGTAAAAGTTAATGATTTATGCATTAATTCTATTTCTACCCAACGGTGATGTAGAATTAATGTGTAAGAACAATTGTGAAAGTTAATGGTTTATGCATTAATTCTATTTCTGCCCAACGGTGATATAGAATTAGTGTATAAGAATAGTTGTATGTTTTGATTTTGACCAACGTTGGAATCAAGAAATGCAAATGGTGTTATTTTTATGATAAGAAAAGTTTTGACCTAGTTTTCATCTTGTCTAAGGTGGACTGGATAGTCACCTCACCGTGTTCCACTAAGTTTGTGGCACCAGTGAGGGAGACAAAAGAGAATGATGTCACTTGGGCAACTAAAGAGAGAGATTTTGAATCCCAAAAGATAGTCCTATGACTTTTGTGCATAGGAAGTGGGTCACTGCCAACAAGAAATGTTTTGGCTGTGATAAAGAACATGATTGAACCTGCAATTGTGGGCTCAATCCTAGAGTGTGACACAGTCACCGAGTACCTCGATAGAATAAAGAGTCAGTTCACTGGCTCTTCAAAGACATATACTACCCAGCTGATAAAGCGGCTGGTGATAGAGTGTTACTCTAGAAATGGTGGCATAAGAGAGCTCACGATGCGTTATCGAAATTATGCCACTGTCGTTTAGGCCATATTTCGAGGGAGAGAATAGAAAGATAAGTTAAGAATGATATTCTTTCTCTATTAGAGTTCTCAGATTAAGAACAATGTAGGGAATGCATAAAAGGAAAGTATGTAAAGAAGATTAAGAAAGATGACAAACGAAGCGCAGAAATTTTACAGATTATTCACACAGACATCTGTGGTCAACTTTTCTATAAAGAGTGTGGATGGTTATGATCCATTCATAACATTCACAGATGATTACTCCCATTATGGCTATATTTATCCAATCAAAGAAAGAAAAGATGTATTGGATAAATTTAAGATATTAAAGATTAAGATAGTCAGGTCTGACCGTGGGGGAGTACTACGGTCGGCATACCCTAAAAGAATGGTATAGTAGCCCAGTATTCTACACCGGGCGAACCTCAGCAGAATAGAGTAGCTAAAAGAATCAATCGCACCCTGATGGATATGGTAGGTAGTATGATAAGTTACTCCACCTTACAGTTGAGCCTGTGGATGGAGGTGTTAAAAAACCGCCATTCATATTCTCAATAGAGTATCAAGAAAGTCGATGCCCAAAACACCGTATAAGTTGTGGACAGAAAGAGTACCCTCACTAAACCACTTGTGTGTGGGGGGGAGCCCTGCTGAGGCTAAAGTATTTAACCCAAACATTGGGAAGTTAGATCCCAAAACAGTAAGGTGCTATTTCTTTGGCTACCCAGAAAAGTCAAAAGGTTTTTGTTTCTACTGTCTAGAGGGACTAGCAAAGTTTATGGAAACGAGACATGCTATCTTCCTAGAGGATGAATTGATGAGGGGGAGCATGCTAGCTCGAGAAATTGTCCTTGAAGTGAAGCGGGTGTATGCGCCCACTCTAATGATTCATGAGCCAATTTTCTCACTACCTGTTGTCGCTGCACCGATAGTGCAAGAGACTATGGTGTCAGCACCTGTTGTTATCCCACCTGTGGCAACAATGAATGACGATTAGGAACATGTTCTTCAGGATTCTATAGAACCTATTGCCACACATGAGGGGGAGCAACAACAGCCTCAAACAGAAGATGTGCCAAAAGTGGAGGCCCCTAGAAGGTCCCAAAGAGTTAGAAAATCAGCTATTCCTGCTAATTATGAAGCGTACAACACTGAGGAATTTCAAATGGAGGATGATCCCACCTCATTTGAAGAAGCCATGAGAAGTGATCATTCATCAAAGTGGCTTGAGGCCATGGAAGATGAAATAAAATCAATGAATGCCAATAAAGTTTGGGACTTAGAAATAATTCCTAAATGAGCCAAAACAGTAGGTTGTAAATGGGTCTACAGAACAAAACTTGGCTCTCAAGGGAATATAGAGAAATATAAAGCGCGACTTGTGGCAAAAGGCTATATGCAAAGAGAAGGGATTGATTACAATGAGACCTTTTCTCCAGTCTCATGTAAAGTTTCCTTCAGAATCATAATGGCATTAGTGGCACATTACGATTGAGAATTACATCAGATGGATATAAAGACGGCATTTCTCAACAGAGACTTGGAGGAAAATGTTTACATGGCACAACCGAAAGGTTTTGTCATGGAAGAAAAAAGAACGAATGTAATGCCGCCTAAATAAATCCATTTATGGATTAAAACAAGCTTCAAGACAGTGGTACTTGAAGTTTGATCAGACAATAAAGAATTTTAGGTTTTAAAGAGAATGTAGAGGACAATTATGTCTATACAAAGTAAAGAGAATGTAGCGGACAATTGTGTCAATACAAAGTTTAAGAATGGGAAGTTTATCTTCCTTGTCCTGTATGTAGATGATATCTTACTTGCTAGTAGTGATGTCAGTCTACTACTGGAGACAAAGAAATTTGATATGAAAGATCTTGGCAAAGCTTCGTTCGTTCTAGGGATCGAGATTCACCGAGATAGAAGAAAAAGGGTATAAGGACTGTCACAAAAGGCATACATGAAAAAGATCTTAAAGAAATTCAGTATGCATAAATGTAGTCCCTCACCTGCTCCTATAGTCAAGGGCGACAGATATGGGGATTTTTAATGCCCTAGGAACCAATATAAGCTCAATTAATAAAGTGAAAGTGGTTCCATATGCTTCAGTTGTCGAAAGCTTGCAACATGCTCAAGTATGTACACGCCCTGACTTGGCATTTGTTACCAGGTTTTACTTGGCAGATTCCAGAGCAATTCTGAAATAGAACACTGAAATTAGTAAAGAAAGTCTTGCATTATTTGCAAGGAACGAAAGACATCATGATGACATATAGAAGATCTGATTCATTCCACATAGTGGGATATTCAGATTCTGATTATGCGAGAGTGAATACATATCCAGACGTGGATTTTCTATCATCTCGTAAAGGGGAGCTATTTCATGGAAAAGCTCAAAGCAAACTGTCACTACATCGTCCACAATGTATGACGGTTTGTAGCGTGTTATGAGGCAACGGGCAGGTGAACTGACTAAAGAAGTTCATACCCGGTTTGAAGATGGTTGACGACATCTATAGACCACTTAAGTTATACTACGATTATAATCTGGCAGTACAGTATGCTCACAACATAAGTCAGGTAGTGCTGCCAAACACATTGACATAGAGTATTATGTTGTGAAAGATAAAGTCCGAGATCAAGTCATAAGTCTTGAGCATATAAGTACAGAAAGAATGTTCGCGGATCCGCTTACAAAAGGCTTACCACCCAACATATTCAGAAAACATAGTATTTAGAGAACATGTAGCTAGCATGGGTTTAAGGAAAAGCCTAAAATTCCTGGACAAAAGAAGGCCCAAAGATAAGTATCTATTTCAGAACAGAGTAGTGTGTTGTAGTTGTTAAGTCTATCGGTAATGAACCGTGATGATGAGACATGCTCTATGCGATAATCTGTAATGGAATGAACAAAAGTAAATAATATGAAATTAAAAGATGAAATGAGATCAAGGGGAGAATGTTAGTTGATCTCCACCAATAGGCCCAATAGCCTATTGGACCTTTAGCTCTGCTCCCTGATCGGGGGAGCTCAACCCTAATACGGTTGATGGGCCCCTATCGCAATGCCGCTCCTCTCACCAAACCACAATAGCTCAGGAACATGCTTCCTATTCCACCACCTCCTCTCCTTCTCGATCAGCTCGGCCAGGCCACCGTCCTTGAACCCCAGGATCGTCTCGTTCTCTATCACCACCTGCGGCCGCGACTTCCACATCTTGGTGTGATTCGACTGCTCCCAGGCGGATATCTTGTCGGTGTCGGCGACGAGCACGACGGGGTTCCCGCCCGCCGAAGCCGTCGCCAAGAGGTACCGATGATCGTTGTACGGATGGTTGTTCTTGCTGTCGCGGGGGAAGCTCGCCGGGAGAGACGTCACCTTCACCCGCGCCGCTCCCACGTGGAGCATGAGTATGTAGCTCCCGCTGTCCGTCAGGCACAGCCAGTGAACGACGTCGCCGATGACCAGCGGCCTGAGGTGCGACGACCGGTTGCCGCTCCCGTGTAGGTTAGGAGTCGGGATGTCCGTGAGCGGGGACCATGCGCCGTGCTCGGACGAGAAGGTGTGCATCAGCAGGCGACGGTAAGAACAGTACTGTGACAGCACTAGCTTCGCCTTGAGCACTTGGAAAGGCCGGCCGACGGCGGCGTCGGCACCGGCACCCTCGCCGTCGCTGCTGCCGACGAGCAGAACATACGTAACGCTGCCCGTACTCCAGACGGAATCCGGGAACGCCGGTTCCGGCGGGAGGGCTAGGCAGCGACGAGTAGCCAGGTTGCACACGAGCAGCTGTCGCTGATGATGCGTGTTATTGCGAACAAGGACGAGACCGCCGCGCGACTCCAGGGGCACGACGTTCCTCAGAGTCTCGTCGGCCTCAGCGAAGGTGGCCTTGACAAGACGGGTGGCGTCCGCTGCGGTGGTGGTATCCACCATGTACACGTCCGTCTTCTCCCCGCCGGCGCCGGTGTAGGTCGTGATCCCCATCGTGGCCACGCAGGAGAGGGAGGACGAACCGCTCCGTGTCGCGGAGGCGGAGGCGGCCGCGGAGGCTGGGGTCCTTGGCGATGCGGCGGCGCGCGTACCTGCACGTGGCAGCGCACCGCACGAAGGTGGCCGGGTCGGAGCGCGCCGCGATCTCCGCGATGATGATGTCGAGCGGGAGCCACGCCGCTTTCTGGCGGTGTCCCCGCCGCCCACCTCTGCTTGGCTGTTGTGTACGCGGCGAGACGGGGACGACGTCGCCGCCGCCGCCGCCGCCCGCCATGGATAGGTTCGTGGAAGATGAGGAAGGTCTCGGATTTGCGTGCCAATATGATCGTGGTTTGGGCTGGCCGCTCGCGGCCGTAATAACGAAGCGATTCTGTCACGAGCGCAAGTTGGGCCTGACTGATCATTTGGGCCGCTTCAAGTACAAAGCTCCAAGCCGGGATGATATATGGCCTCTAGAGTCCAGAGCTTAGCAGTGGGAGTGGAAACATGCATGGTCTTCTGCAAGCGTCCACTTTCCGGGAACTGGAACATTTATGTTCCCACGTTAAAAAAATAACACCTCAAATTCCTATTCTCGTTCCACGTTCGTATTCCTCATGGGAAGATGACTGCTAAGGTCCAGAGAAGAAGGCGCACAGCAGTATTTGATTTTATTATTAACACCTGGAGAGTTGCAGCCGGCTAGCAGTTGTGAAAGGTCCTGTTTGGTATAATTTAGCTTAGTTTTTTTCTCCAGCTTTACAAGCAACTCTATGGATAAAGTTGGAGTTGTTCTTTGAACCATTTAGCAAAACAACTATACATATGAAGCTCCTTAAGGCATACTCTAACAAATCTCACGCAAAGGCTCAATATTTTCAGCTTCGTCCTACACCAGTCCATTGTGAGAGCATGTTTTAAAGAACTTGACATGTGAAACTATTTGAAAATATCCGTTTGGCATAAAACAGTTTCAAACAGCTCGTGAAAATGTTCACGAAGCTATGTCAATCATGGTCTAAAAAACAATGCAACCGAGGTTTTCCTTTCTTTTCTATGCTCCACCATATTTGTGTGTGCGAGTGCGTATTTGCTACTAGTAACACTAGAAATTTATGTGCGCCTTGCGCGCCCTATCAAGCAGTCGTGGAGCATTTTGTAAGCAATTGACATCACAGGCCACTGTTTTCGTGGTGGAAAATTTTATTTACACCACCACCAAGGGGCACAAAGATCATGGCATCCACAGGAACCATTTTTGGACACAAATGTCTCATCGAGGGCTATCAATTTTCAAATAGTTAATCTCAATAGAAATTGCCTAGAATGTAAACTATACAAATCACAGGAGACGCTGATCGAGGAACATAATTTTCCATTCAAAGCAAGCACATTGTTCAGCAATACCTACAGCTAGAGATTATAGGACTGATGTTTATAGAAAAAAAGATAAGAGGGTTGACCAGAATCAATTTTCAGTACACTGGTAAATTTTCGGACTTCCACTTAGTTAAGATGTATACATGAAACAGGTATCATTGCAGACAAGGCACGATGGACAATTCAAACAGATCACTTCTAGGGGTCCTTGGTATGGTTGGCACCATCTTGGCAATGTAAGTCTCCAGCGGTGCTTCCTTTTGCTGTTCAGCACAGTTCCAAGATCCTTGTAATAAGCTTCCCTTGCTTTGTTGTTCTTGTCACGACACCCAGTTCTAACGAAAGTATTCTCTGGCTTGTTTTCTCTAAATGGCGGCACACCGTGTGGTACTGTGGTCCATGATAGATGTTCCCTGTGTCTTTGGTGGGCTGTAACAAAAGAAACATTAATATAAAGTTAGAACGGCAAAGACAGATGCATGGATAATGATCATCAATCATGTGAAACAACCCATCAACCAATCCAAGTTAGTTGTCCAGTGAAATGCAGCTCTCCTCCCTATTTCAGGGCAAGCATGTTTCATAGAACATAGTCACATCGTGTCATAGCATTTTACAGTTAGCTACCCTTCTTAATATTAGAGGGAAAACTCAAACCTTAAGTTGACAATACTTAGCTAGTAATGTGAGAACTCTGTTTCAGTACATGGACTGTCGAACATTTAAGCAAAAATCTTAAACTATATGTACCATGCTACCTGCTTTGTTCTTTTATCTTTCGATTGACAAAGCATGTGATTGTTTTCAGGAACTAAAGGAAGGTCAGATTCGGCTCCAGGTACTATTTTCAACAGTGCTAATGTCTTTTGCTTATATAGTATAAAATAAAAGGGTGGAATGTAAATTTAGTGCAAATCAGTGAAGGATAAATCTCAAAATGCAACTAAGTTGCATCATTTGATGGCACGCAAACAAGATGCAAGTCAGGAGTTTCAGAACAAATGGTTGAAATTCAGTTCATGTGTAGAATCGTAAAACAATGCAATTTTCCTGTAATTACTAACCCATCTAGCTCAAATTGCAGCAGTAAAAATTTGGACATGCGAAAAATCTTCTAGCAGGCTGGGCTTGAGTCACTACACATACCTTCCCCAAAAGCCGAACACCTTGCCATATCAATAAAACTTGGCCAAAGCCTGGTCCTGGACTGCGGGCAAAGGCACCCTACTGCCCTACAGCACCAAGAGCATGGAGTCCACCATAGCTAGTTTCCAACAGACTTCTGCTTGCTCCACATGACCAGCTCACCACCGCTCATTCCCCAATCCCCATATCCTCTGCTCCAAATTGCCAATTCCAGTAGTGGTGAGCTGAAGAGCCATTCTTGTAACAAATGTTTTGTCATAGGGTATCAGGAGCGGATTGTACAAGTTAAACAGACATCATACAATGGAACCAAGCCTTTAAGCAAACCCCCTTAGATCCCAGGAGCAAACAATCGAATTGATTGAACTTTCATGTTGACGGTGTTGCTTACTCTTTGAGTGCAGCGCTGGTCTGTCGTCATGCTGCTGGACCAGGCTGCAGATGACAAAGGATGCACTCCAGATCCGCAAAAGCATAACTGAATGCCCAAATCGCCATCCAAGAGTGAGCAAATAAAACGTTTGAATTGGAAGGCAGAGGAAGAAAAGGGAAGGTGCCTATGTAAGGAACGCACGACCGGGAGGTGAGGAGCAAGTCGGTGGCCACGTCGAGCCAGCGCCCCGCGAGGATGTGCTCTCGCGCTTCAAGGCAGAGGTCTGTGTGTCTCGGTTGGCGACCTCCGAGCCTGCATCTGCACAGGCGAGCTCAACACTGATGTCTCGGTCGATGCGATGATGATTTTTGGGGAAGACTTTCCATACCATGCATACCTAGGCGGGTGGTCCGCAGCACCGCGGCTCACGCTGCTGGATCAAGACGCCGGATGGGGAGGCGGAGAATCAGCGAACACACTGGGCCTCACGCTCTCCACAGCCAGGTTGGACTTGGCCTGGGTACCCCTCCGACCTCCCGGCAGTGCGAGGCGGAGCGAAAGTCCCGGAGGCATGGCGAGCCCCGATGTCGTCGTCAAACCACGAGCGGGAGCAGAGGTGCCGCGACGCAACGGCCACAGATGGAGGAGGCGACTGCTCCATTTTAGATCGTGGCTAGAGGCCTAGAGCTCGGGGACGAGGCCGGAGACGTCGGTGCCAATTGGGGATGGAGGGTAGCAGATCTCACACTCGTGCCGGCGCAGGAGGCCAGGAACGCCGGCATGCCGCGTGGGCCGTGTGCGCTGAGATGCGGAGATCGGCTGTAGCGGCGGCGGGGAGAAGAGAGAGAAAGGAGAGATGGATCGAGGGGAGCTAGGGCTGGAAGGGGAGGAGGGGTTCTACGCAAAATTGACTGGGATACTCTGTAAAAATGACGAGGGTATCGTTTTTTCTCTTCACGTTGAAATAAACATTACAACAAGGATCTCTACATGATCAATCTAAATAAACATGGGTACTGTATACATAGGTTGGGTTGGACTGCGGGTTGATTACGGAAATTTCGAGGACTTTTCTGAAAAAAGGCCGAGACCACGCGTCCAGGCGTCGACGCGCCGAGGAACCACGGATGCTTCAAATCAAATTCTCTGGTGCGAGCAATCCCGAAAGTCTTTAAGACGGACTCCAGCCATGAGACCCAAATACAACACCTATATCTCGGTTTGGGTTCGGCACAGTGAAAAAAAGTCACCACGCAAAAGTGAGTCTCTCCAACCGACCGCAAACGCAAAAGCTCCTAAATCCGCCGGAGGTTAAAGCCCAGACCGTAACGGGCTCCTGATTTCTAGTATAGAATATTTGTCCGATAATGAGATAGTCACTAGCTCTCAAACAATTTTCCCATTAGTATTAACCTTTAGCACATAATTTATAATATAAATAGTCCCACATGTCAATCTTAGAGAGGGGCTTGCTTTTTAATTTTGAATCGTGTGTGTATGTGGTCCGCTGTTGAAGGATTTTCGGGAAGGCAAAGAACTCAAAAATGAGTGTGGGTCTCCTCGTCGGAGACAGTCTAAGGAACCTGATTTCTAGTATAGAATATTTGTCCGATAATGAGATAGTCCATTAAATGTAGAACTTATTAAAAAACTTAATTAAAATCTATAGTATTTGGAAATCACAACAAATCATTTAACGTTTTGAGCCTAATTAGTTAATATTGAACAATAAGGCCCGCTCTCAAACAATTTTCCCATTAGTATTAACCTTTAGCACATAATTTATAATATAAATAGTCCCACGTGTCAATCTTATATAATTTTGAAGTGTGTGTATGAGACCAACTCTTAATTAAGAGATATTTTTTCTCATTCTTCTTTTAAAATATGAAATAAAATGTTTAGGGCTAGCTCATACTTCATCACTGAAGATACCTTAGAAACAATCTCGGATAATAGCTGGATGGTCTCAAATAAATTTCTTCCGGACGTAATTTTTTTTTTTTTTGCGCTCCTTGTAAATGAGGTATATTCTTTTTTTTCTAGTGGGCATGCAAAAACTGATCCTTCATATTACAAATGGATTAGAGTATACTCTTTCTGTCAAAAAAGAATA